AATTTTCCCAACACGAAAACGACTGACTCGAAAAACAATTCGGGAAACTTCTAAGCCGGCACGCGTCAACGGCAACCGTAGCCGGCGAACATAGCCGTCTGTTGTACGTCACAGATGTGACAACGAGAGTTCGCTACCTCGTCGACACTGGCGCAGAAGTTAGCGTTCTCCCAGCAAATCATAACGACCGGCTCCACGAATCAACTCTAAACTTACAGGCGGCAAATGGAAAACCGATCGCCACGTATGGCAAAAGGTACGTCTACCTTAACGTGGGTTTACGCAAACCCATTCATTGGATTTTCGTTGTTGCAGATGTTTCTATGCCAATCATTGGTATGGATCTTCTACAACATCATAATCTAATCATCGACACGCGCAAACGGAGGCTAGTAGATGGAAACACTAAATTATCCGTTTGCGTAACTTCTTTTTCTGGTTGTAGATTATCCCCAGTCACAGTTAAGCATTCGATAGACCCACTCTATCAACCACTACTCGACAAGTACCCTGGGATACAACAAGCTCAAACGAAACTACCGTGTGTAACCAGCAATGTTACACATCACATCACGACTACAGGACCACCTGTATTCTCTAAAGCACGACGACTAGCTCCGGAAAAGCTGAGGTTAGCGAAAAACGAATTCGATCATATGATAGACTTAGGAATCATACGACCGTCAAACAGCCCTTATGCATCTCCGTTGCACATGGTCCCTAAAAAGGACAGCAACGATTGGCGTCCAACTGGTGACTATCGGCGATTGAATGCAAAAACCATTCCCGATCGTTACCCGTTGCCTCACATTCACGATTTGACAGCTACCTTGAAAGGTACAACTGTCTTTTCAAAAATCGACTTGGTTAAAGCGTATAACCAAATTCCCATGGCCACTGACGACATACCGAAAACAGCTATCATAACTCCTTTCGGACTCTATGAATTTTTGCGAATGCCGTTCGGTCTAAGAAACGCTGCGCAAACTTTCCAAAGATTCATAGACGACGTCTTTCGAGGCCTCAACTTCGTACATGCGTATGTTGATGACTGCTTAATCGCAAGTCCGGACAGAGAATCACATCTCAAGCATCTGGATCTTGTTTTCGAACGATTACAAAAACATGGCATTACTGTAAACGTTCAGAAATGCCAATTCGGAACCGACTCGTTAGATTTCCTAGGACACACTATCGATGCTCAAGGCATTCAACCTCTTAGGACCAAAGTGGCGGCCATTCTAGATTACCCAGAACCGACCAACGTCAAGCAATTACGCACGTTTAACGGCCTGGTAAGTTTCTATAGACGCTTCATACCGAAATGCGCATTACTTATGAAACCTCTTACTGACCAACTTCGTGGAAATGCGAAATCCATTAATTTGGACGACACCGCACGAAAAGCATTCTCCACAGTTAAGGAACTGATCGCTAAAGCAACAATGCTCGCACATCAGGACACTGAAGCACCCATTGTAAGATCCAAACTACGTTTGGACTGCTGGACAGCTGTCTGGATGAGTTAGATACGCGCCCTCGCCCGATTGAAACCAAAACAAAGTAATTGGGTAAGATAGCGGTTCTATAATTTATCATAAATTTAAGTGTACATTATTACCTAAACAAATATAACCACTCAGCTATCCAACCAATAATTGTTTAATTGATCAACTCTAAACTATAATAAATAAGAACGTTGATAAAGGATGCAAGAAAATTACCAATCACCACAAATAAATGTTATTCTATCCTGTCTGGATAGATCACGTACAGATTCGTTCAAAAGGTAATACTTGGTCGCTCTATAACCCAGAGTGTTTTCAATTCTGGAAGAGTGCTTCAATTCACAACAAAAATGCACAGTCCCAGTCAACGCAGGTCAAGCAATCACAAACAGGAACAAACCAAAATGGCTGCCGCCAAGACTTAGTATAAAGTAAAACAACATAAGTGCAGTTCGGGAAGAAGCATAGGGAATTAGTGAAGGTGTGGTAAAAACGAAAACTATAATAAAATACAAATATTAACAATTCAACTGTAGTCAAAAAGTTAACATTGTACGACTAAAAGAATCAATAGGAACAAAGTGCAAGTATATACATGGAGGGATTTTCACGAACACACAAAGCATTCAAAATGGATCTTACACCCATTAGTATCGCAGTAGACGCATCCGACTCGGCAATCGGAGGAGTCTTACAACAATGGATTAACAACTCCTGGCAACCCTTGGCATTTTTTTCTAGACGGTTGCTAGACACCGAATCGAGATACAGCACATTCGGTAGGGAACTCCTAGCTATGTATTGTGCTGTACGGCATTTTCAACACTATATCGAAGGCCGCGAATTCACTCTATTCACTGACCATAAACCGCTCACTTTCTCGTTAAGCTCTCCTTCTGACAAGTACTCTCCCCGTGAGTCTCGACAACTGGACTACATTTCGCAGTTTACTTCAGATATTCAACATATTTCTGGAGCAAACAATGTAGTTGCAGACGCCTTGTCTCGAATAAACTCCTTGAACAGTTTCCAAGGAATCGACCTTCTTAAACTCGCCCAGCTTCAAAAAGAAGACACTGATCTTCAGCAAGAGTTATCGTCCACAACCCTTAAACTACGCATCAAACAGATGGGAACAGGTAAGGAAACCTTACTTTGTGACACATCTACAGGTAGAGATCGCCCAATCGTTCCGAAACATTATCGACGCAATGTCTTCAACACATTGCACAAACTTTCTCATCCAGGTGTTCGTGCAACCATCAAGCTCATAGCAGAACGCTTTTGCTGGCCTGGTATGAATAAAGACGTGAGGGAGTGGGCACGCTCCTGTGTAAGCTGCCAAAAATCTAAGGTCATCAGACACAATAAATGTCCCTTAGGCTCATTTAAAACTCCCGATGCTCGTTTCGACCATGTTCATCTGGATTTGGTAGGACCTTTACCAGATTCAAATGGATACTCTTACCTCTTAACCTGTGTAGACCGTTTCACTCGATGGCCAGAAGCAGTACCTATCAAGGACATCACTGCTGAAACAGTGGCCCGAACCTTCGTCGAACGATGGGTAGCAAACTTCGGTTGCCCTTCAACCATCACCACAGACCGCGGACGTCAGTTTGAGTCTGAACTTTTCCGTCGTCTGACCACACTATTAGGAAGCACTCGCTTCCGAACGACCGCCTACCACCCACAAGCAAACGGGTTGGTAGAACGCTTTCACCGACAACTAAAAGCTTCACTATCAGCTGCAAACGTTTCACAGTGGACCGACGCTCTTCCACTCGTCTTACTAGGTATCCGCAATGCAGTGAAAGCTGACATTGGATACACTGCGGCTCAACTCGTTTATGGAACAACACTTCGACTTCCAGGAGAATTCGTGGATCCTTCATCCTCTTCATTGAGCATGGATCTAACCTCTTACACGAACAGGCTTACAAACGCAATGCGTTCAGTTAAACCTGCTTCCACTCGACCTCAATCAACTGATGTTTTCATTCAACCTGAGTTACGATATAGTACACACGTTTTCGTTCGTCGAGACTCGCATCGACGACCTTTCGAATCAGCATACGAAGGACCTTTCAAAGTTCTTCAACGCGAACCGAAGTACTATATAATCGATAAGAACGGAACCAACGATAGCATCAGCATCGATCGCCTCAAAGCAGCGTATTTAGAAGGAAATCCTATCTACGTGGATTTTCCTTCGGTACAATTGAACGACACGACTCCGATACTTATAATACCTCATCCGACAACCAACACACACGATGATACTTCGACAGTATCCGAAAATAAATTTAAAACGACACGTTCTGGAAGAAGAGTAAGATTTCCAGAACATTTAAATGACTATTGCACGTAAGGCACTTCTCGACATTTTCTATATTATTAAAAAAATTTTTTTTTAAAATAGGCTTATATATTTTCAATTCTATTTTTTTAAAAAAAAACAACAAAAAAAAAACGATTTTTTTAACGCTGTTACGTTTTCATGAGTTTATTTTCCCTTTTTTTTACGCACATACGAGTGTATTTTCGACATGCACTTACATTTTCTTTCTTCTTTTCCAGGACGGCTGGAAAAGAACGATGACGTTTATGAGGATACGAAACTTTCATTGTACATTTCTTTTTTTACTATGTTGTACTCCGGTCCCATATAGTAAGGAAAGACGACCAGACGCTGCTAAATTTAGTAAGCTATCAGAAGAGTGTTTACCAACGACAAACTCGTTGGGTTTAAACTTCTGGCTGGCCACGTCTTAGGGTCATCACTGCCCCACTAGGGGGGGAGTGATCTGTAGCGGTAAATAAATCCCCAAACTAAATAGCTCAATAGGTTTTCGACATTGGATGCTGACCATATGTTTTAGTGGACTCATCTAGCTGAAGGCGCTCGGTCATGCATCCGCACCAGATCACGTGCTGTCACGCTGTGCTCAACAACAACCGCAATCACTAGCCAGATTAGATCAGAGATTCCCGATATATTGGTTATCGCCAAATACACTCTTCCGATCTCCTCGACTCTGTCTTTTGATTTCTCTCGGTGGGAACAAAGCATATTAGAAGGTGTTATTGGTAGAAGCGTTGTCAAACACTGAATACCTGTATCATCCTCACAATTAAAAAACTACGAAACTGACGTTTACGTAAAATTAAGCCTAGAGCTTACATCATTCTTTTGTTCATATCCCCTCGGAAGAGGTTTTGTGGATATTATAGTAGTTTTAATAGTTGGCAATTGAAGCTAGACCACCATGGTAAAACTGGAAGAACTGGACGACAGCTTCATCCTGTTGCAGAACTCCTCACTAGTGCGCATCCATAATCTCACCTCGCGAAATTCGAACCCAGGGCCTGTAGGTCTCGCGCGAGTGTTTAAGCTCTGGACCACTGAGCCGGCATCGAACTGTGTGAATGTTTGAATACAAACAATTGTGGTGTTTGAACGAACTAGTGATACTATTGTACTGATTGATTGTACGATTTCAAATTCCAAATACAGTACATTCGGTTGTGCCTGTGTCTTCTTAATTCAATTGCGTTATTTCTGGGACTCTTAGTTAGTGCTATAATTCCAATAAGTAGAAACATTATACCGGCGTCGTGATGGAACCTGCAATGGAAAAGTTGGACATTCATTCAACTTCGGAAGCATTTGAGGATTATTTGGAAAGGTTTGAAATCTGGAGCATGACTAAGAAAGATGTCAAAGGTGATAAAATTGTGGCACATTTCCTGACATTCATTGGGAGAGAAGCGCACAGCTTATTAAAAACTTTGGCATATCCAGAAAAACCTATCTCACTTCCTTATGAAACTCTGAAAGAGCTATTATTAAATCATGTAAAATGCACCAGTTTCGAATGCCGTGAAAGAGCGAAATTTCATAAGATGGTTCGTCAAAATGATCAAAAAGTTCGGGAATTCATTTTTGAATTGCAGAAACAAGCTGCCAAGTGTAATTTCGGTGATCAACTTCATGTACAACTAAGAGATCGATTAATTGCAGGAATCAACATACCGAGTTTGGAAAGAGAGCTGTTAAGAATGCCAAACTGTTCCTTTCAAGATGCTAGAACTGCGTGTATTAACTATGAAGCGGTAAATGAACTTGATATCCAGTCAATGAAGATTTCTAATACTTTGCTTAGTTGTCCTGATGAACTACAATCTCAGGGTCAATCGAACTTGCGTTCATTTAACGGTGAATCCTATTCTCGTGTAAATATGGAAGGTGTTTCAACAAGGAATTACAAAACAAATCACAAAGGTGAGATGAAGTTTGGTAAATGTTTATCATGTGGAAAGTTTCATCCTCGTAATTCATGTGCATTTCGTAATGCTAAATGTTTTAAATGTGGTAAGATAGGACACATTCAGTCAGTATGCAAAGCTACTGTCCACTTTGCTTCAAGTAGTACTAAATCTTGTCATTTAAATCTCAATAATTCGGATGTTTCTAGCTATCATTTATCTTTGTCTACTATTTCGAAAGGTAATGCTCATATTGAAAAGCGACTATATACATCGCTTAGTTCATTTCGTGACTTTATTGTGGACACAGGCAGTATAGAGTCCATTATTTCATTCAAAGACTTGAAATTCTTAGATCCTAACGTTGTAGTACGACCCACTGAAGTATCAATATTGGGGATTACTGGACACAGACTGCCCATACGAGGATGCTGTGAATTGCTAATGAGAGATGATAATTCTTCATACATACCTTGTGAATTTTTAGTTAGCGAAACAGGACTGTCAATATTAGGTTTAGAGAGTTTGTAAAGGCTTAAAGTGGAGTTGTCCTTCTTAGTTTCTAAGGAGAATCCTGATACTTTACTTAAAGATTTGATAGCTAGGTGTGCTAAGTGCAGTGGAGGTATGAAAATTCAGCCTATAAAACTTCAAGTACAGGGTGATCCAGTTTTTCTTAAAAGACGAATAATTCCTTATGGTCTTCGAGAAGCAGTACATAAGACATTAAACGATTTGTGTGCGAAAGGCATAATTGAACCAATTCAGTCTTCAGCATGGGGTACTCCTATCGTTACGCCACTGAAGTCGGACGGCAAGACCCCTAGAATTTGTGGTGACTATAGATTAACTCTGAATTCCCGTTTGTTGAAGCAAACGTGCACGACGGTGGAGGCTGAAGACATTCTAAATCGACTTCATGGTTCTAAAGTGTTCTCGAAAGTTGACCTAAAAGATGCTTATCTTCAAATTCCTTTAGATCAGTCTTCATCTATTTTGACGACAATTAACACTCCGTTTGGTCTGTTCAAATACAATTTTCTTCCATTTGGTCTAAGTTGTTCTCCAGCCATATTTCAGGAAGTTATGAATAAAGTAGTTAGTGATCTTGAAGGTGTTGAAGTTTATCAAGATGATCTCATTGTTCATGGTTTTAATAAGGTAGTTCATGACCAGAGACTTATTGCTTTATTGCGTCGTTTAATTTAGAAGAATATTACAGTGAATCCAAATAAGTGTTCGTTTTGTGTATCTAGTTTTGAATGCCTTGTATACCTAGTTGATGGTAATGGTTTTAGACCAGATATGAAACGACTAGCTCCGCTGACAAATGCCCCGTCTCCAAAAAATCTTACGGAATTACGTTCACTAGTGGGTGCTCTTCAATACTATTCCCGTTTTATTCCTAATTTTTCTTGTCGTGCAAATTGTTTATTTAATATTTTGACATCCAATTCATTCAAATGGAGTGAGGAACAAGAGTCATGCTTACGTAATCTACTAAAGTTTCTTCAAAGTGATGCTGTTCTTCGAACGTACTCCCCTAGTGTACATTCTGTGCTTATTACTGATGCATCACCTGTGGGAATTGGTGCAGTTTTGGAACAGGAAGGTAGACCAGTTATTTGTGTTTCACGCAAACTCACTGTTACTGAACAAGGTTATTCACAGACTCAGCGAGAAGCATTAGCTGTGTTTTGGGCTGTTAAAAGACTTCATAAATATTTATTCGGAAAGAAATTCACTATTGTTACTGATCATGAAGCTTTAAAGTTTATTTATCATCCTGGAAAATCCTTAGCACGTTCCTCAGCTGCTATGGTTCAACGATGGAGTATTGCTTTGAGTGCATATGACTATATGGTTCAGCACAGAAGTGCCAAACAAATTCAACATGTTGACTACATTTCTCGACAGTCATTACAAGATCGACCTATTAATACCTCGGACTGTTTGTTAGTGCAACTTTTACCAGTGAGACGTTCAGATCTCATTAGAGAAACTCGCAGATATTTTGGATGTATGCTCAGTGCTATACGAAAAGGCTGGACTGCTAATTTGAAACGTAGATTTCCTATCTATTTTTCAAAGAGGGATGAGCTATCTACTACTCCTGATGGTATTCTGTGTTTAAATGATCGTGTTGTCATTCCTCCTTCATTGCGTAAATCTGTTCTTGAAGATCTTCATAGTGGTCATTTAGGTGTTGAAAAAATGAAGTCCTTGGCAAGGCTCACATGTTGGTGGCCAGAGATAAATGCAGATATATGTCGTACAGCAAACAATTGTGAGAAATGTCATCAGTTGAAAAGTCATCCTTCGAAGTGGACGCCATGGCCAGTATCGTCTGAGGCCTGGCAGAGAATTCATGCTGACTATTGTGGTCCGTTTCTTGGTAAATACTATGCACTAGTAGTTATTGATTCTTTTTCAAAATGGCCTGAAGTTTTTTTTACAACTTCACCTAATTCTGACTTCACAATCCAAGCATTAAGAAAGGTGTTTAGTCGAGAAGGGGTTCCTATGGTGTTAGTGACTGACAATGGTTCTCACTTTGCTGCAGATGCGGTCACTAACTGGTTGAACGGTATAGGGTGCAAACATCTGTTTACTGCTCCCAGACATCCGTGTTCTAATGGTCAGGCAGAGAATTTTGTCAGGACATTAAAGACTGCTATTGATTCTATAGCCATCTCAACATTTAATGAGCTGGAGAGGGGAGTAGATACCTTTCTATTGCAATATAGAAATGCCAGACATTCGGTGACGAAGGAGACTCCAGCGAAGCTAATGAAAGGAAGAATTCTTCGGTCGAATATGAGATGTTTGGAGTCTGCAGAAGTTACATACTATCGGGGAAATGATCTTCGACCATCTACGGGTATTGTTCCGAAGAATGTCGAAAAATCGATGGTGCGAATTCTAGACATCAATGACTTAAGTACACACAGTCGACATGTTGATCAAATACAGTTTCAGGAACCAGGTAAGTCTGTTCCAATTTCCGTTGTTAATTCTAATGCTAATGAGCAAATTCTAGATAATACAGAATCCTTTTCGAATATAATGGCAGACAGACCCAGGATGAATTTGAGAAGAAGACGTACGATTGATTACAAACACCTAGACTCCAATTTAAGCTGTGGCGGATGTGGTGTTCGAACGAACTAATGATACTATTGTACTGATTGATTGTACGATTTCAAATTCCAAATACAGTACATTCGGTTGTGCCTGTGTCTTCTTAATTCAATTGCGTTATTTCTGGGACTCTTAGTTAGTGCTATAATTCCAATAAGTAGAAACATTATAACAATACACATGCACTATTGCCTTCAGTGAGTTATTACCTCACAACACACTCGGTTAGATTCCACTGGTCACCGCCTTTCAATAGAACTCCAGGAAATATCTCTTGAAGTCCCTTCGTAGTTGAATACTCAGAGGAATAACAGGCACTTATTATTTGAAAACAATAAAGTAGGATGTTTTAAACATCTTTATTTACGACTTTTGAAATCTAAATTGTTTCTCATTTATGAAATATTGTTCATTTACATATGTGTATTACTTAAAAATAACATAAATATGTTCGCGAAATTATTTTCAGCAGTTAAACAGTTTTATGAGGTGCATCATTGTGGTCACAATTTACGTCCTGTTCACCATAAGACTTTTAAAACTCAAGTGCAGCATAAATAACAATTTGTCTATCTTATCAAGTTTCCTGACTTTAAAGTGTGTAAAGAATCGAACTGCATCACATTATTGAAATCTGAATTCATTTCCACATTAAGTGAGGGAAATTTATTATATTCATTTATTTGCAGTACATCTAGACAGAAGAGTCCAAAGACCGAATTGCGTCGTTCGCCAGTTCACTGATATCCATAGGTTGTGTAGCATTGACGAGTTTCGTTTGCTGCGAAACAGTGGCAGGCACACTCTCGGCTAACTACGACGCCAGCTAATGGCGAACAATATCACATACTATCCGAGGAGGACTACGCAGAGACGCAAGTCGGTCAACATATGTATGACACGTTTAATCTCTGTAGAAATAATACATCACAGTAAGAGGTTCTTCGGCAGTTTAATGAAGTGCATCCAACCTAATTTAACTATTGTAAATACCACATTTCGTAGTCAAATGTAATTGTCTCTGTCATTTTTATTTATAAATCTTTGCATTATTACTATTATTATTATTCTGACTATTGGTTAAACATCATTATTAATCTCCTCAATGCATTATTCATTTACTTCTCACTCATCCCACCTTATTATGTCTTACTTATAAGTTTCTACACAATATAGTCTTCTACCAAACATTTGATCGAATGGTAATTGCACCATTATTTCTCTCACCCATATTTATTCTGATCATGGATCTTACAATGTTCACTCAACATATAAGCTGATTGAAGTTAACACACTATATGAGTCATATCAACATTAACAATTCCATTCAATGTTGTTTGATAATCCTTTAACCAATATACATAACCTTTAGATTGGCCATTTTTCGAATTATTAATTTCAACATTTGAGTTGTAGAACCTGAAGAGAATTTGTCTAAAAGAATATTCTTCGTTCAAATATTAGTCTTTTATTATGATGGGGATGTTTAAACAATTAAAGTGGTTTGTAATCTACTAAGCTGTCTCCAGTCATATCCTGTTATTGTATATATTTCTGCACTATATATTAATGTTTTGCCTCACCGTGCCCTCTTTCATTTCTTCTCTTATATATACTCATAATATTGGCGATGCTTAAGATATTCCCCCGGAGGTTGAATGAACCAACTTCCATTTTTAGTTAAAGTCGATGATGTTGTCAGGGTTTGTCATCAACTTCTTCACTGTTTAAATATTCAACTCAGAAAACTTGACATTACCGAATTAAATCATATTCCAATAAATAGATGAAAATGTGTGTTTATGTAGAGATATATGCTGAGTGAATATCAAATTTTCAAACTATTTCTAAGGCTTTTCTAGTAAATTACATACAAAATGATATTTGTCTCTTATTGAAATAGCAATTGTTGTATTTATTAGAACAGTGTGCGGCACTGTATTACTTGTAGGCAATTTCACAAACGAACTGTTCTCCTGTTAAAATCTACATGAAAGTAAAGAACATTAAAGAGATTTTCCATCTCAGCTTAACACTCCCCGGAGGTTAGCAACCAAAATATTACACAGAAGCGGAACCAGGACTTTTATTGTCCAAATAAAATATGGTGTCGCTCAGTTTGAGTTTGTATCCAATTGTCGACAATTTCTGATTAAGTGCATTATTTTTTTACTATGGATTATTTGGAATTCCAAAAAACGTTTCAGTGAAACCGAAGATGATACCATACGCCTTCAGGTAACAGAGGCAGTTATAGAAAACTTTATTTAAACTGACTATGGACTCAGTGGAAAGCTCATCTAAGTTTATTTAGGTGTGACGAAGTTATTTTTTGAGTATATATATATGACACACAACTACGTAGTGATCTTAGCTTAGAATATGCATTAATTCCTACGGCTGATGTAAAAGCACAGAATATGACGGTATATTCAGTCTCTGGATATTTAATCTTCAGGCTTAATGTGTTCATCCCGTATATTGGTGATTGTTATGGCACGAAGAGTCAGCGTAGACAATGATATGACTTCCACGTTAGATCTTATAGATTAGGCAGTTACATCATGATAACTCTACCATTTCAAGATTAGGTCTGTTTTTAGATCAGTGCTAATGACTTAGTGGACCATAATTCTGCCCACCAAGACTAATTTATTCATTCTCCTCAAGCCACGTTGACTTTTATGTTCATTACTTCCCCTATACATTATGTGTCTGTTATTATTTTCTGAATATAACGTTTAGTCACGCTTTAGCGAAAGTAGTTGGCCCACTTGCTTTCTCCACCGCGTGGCATTTCGTTTGGCTTCACCCTCTCTACTCTACTTCCTTCACTTCGCTAATTCGAAGACTTCTCATAATCGTACTATATCAGTACCGGCAAGCGAAATGCGTATAAATTTGCATTCATTCAGCCAGTGTGTGTCATTTAGTTCGTGTGATTGTAGAATCTTTATGTTTATTTTCTACCGATTTCTGTTGATTAAAATAAGAAAAATGGCTTGTTCTAATATTAATTTTATTGTTATTCAAATTGTAATTTATATTGCCTAATGAATTAACATCTAATAAACGATTTATTCCGTGAATTTTAGTCAAACATTTACTACATCAATTAGTAGTGTAATATATGCTTACCTACTTACTTACACCCGTTACTCCTCATCGAATAGCATAGGTCACTCATTAGCATTCTTCATCGAACTCTGTTCTGAATAGTATATGAAACGTTTTATAATTAGCAAAAACACTAGTAATTTGTTTAACTACTTATATCATTATTCAGTAATTGTTTTATGTCAATGAAAATGGAGAAGTCATTGAATTATTACACAAGATATTATTATGAAATTAACAATGCAATTTATTCGAGAAAACGATTATTCCAGGATGAATATGAATGATCGTTGAAGTTGCTTTGAAACCTTTTTAACAATTACTGACTAGTAAGCAGACGAATTCAATTTATAGCAGTTTACTATGTTTTCAATGGTTATGATTATATTTTGTGGCAAAAAGTACCAAAAGTAATTGTGACAGATTAGGAGAAATGCTGTTTCTACAACTTATACTTCCAGTCAGTATGTTGTGAAATAAGATTTGGTGGGGATTGGCAAACTGTTGTATAATGAAAAATGACAGTTATTAAATAAAATTTATCACACAATTTTGCCGATTCACTCATATCGATTCATCGTTTAACACGCAATTGTTATACTATGAAAGGATTGCGTATCGTTTATCATCTGCGATCGTGCAGCTTGTGTAATAAGTGTAGATTCTCATCGCTAAATTTATGGTAATAATTCAGATATTTTGAGACGTGCACTTACTCGCTTGCTGTTATGTTATTTTCATTTTCGTTTTAATGTAAAACCATGAAATTCTTGGCGTTTCTTTGGATGTTATTGTGGTGTTGCTATGGATTAGTGATTTTTTGTGCTTGTGATGTCTACATGAAGTTGAAATCCAAATCTAATAAGTTGGTTTATGCTCCTTTAATACTTCTTGGATAAATTGCATCACTTTTTAGATTCCTAGTTTGTACAATAATTTAAATACTCCTAGTCATCATGTTGGCGTCACGATTGAACATACAATTTTCAACCGGACAGTGACTCGAGAACGTTTAGATACAGTCGAATTTCCACCAAAGACGAGCCGCTGTATAAGTATAAAAGAGGATGAATAATGTGGAAAATAACAATAATAATAATAATGACAATAATAGTAAAAATAATAGTATTAATAATGACAATGATTGTAATGTTAATAATTTGAATCAATTGATTGTTTTTCGAAGCGAGAAAAGTAATTTCCATAGACATAAAGAGTTCATCATTTGTGTGAGGGCTGTGATACTCCCCGTGTGCCCAAACAACTTGATTAGTTGTTAGGGTATCCAAAGCATATATAATACAACCACCTCCTCGCTTAGTTACTCTGTCGCAGCGATAAAGTCGATAGTTCTGGATATTTAATTCTGAATTATATACTGCTTGAGAGCACCATGTTTCAGTGATAAGCATGAAAGAAGGTTTGGCTAAAAAAGCTAATGTTCTCAAGGCTGAAATTTTGTTCAGAAGTGAACGTGCATTGATAAATAATAAGTTTAAAAAAGGAGTATGGAGTGTAAAAAAACCGAGAGCTTCCCTATTGATGTTATGTAGTTTGAATTTGCATAGACTATGGTTTATTATGTTTGACTGATCGTATGGGCTATCGCTTGAACAAACTGTATTGCTAGAGGGACCAGAGATTTCTGAAGGCCAAAAAATCATTATTTTGATAAAGTGGGTTAATTTGTTGAACTTGATTAGGCGGACAGTTAAGACAGGCACCTGCCAGTTGGGGTTGGGTTGATGGTGCGTAACCTAGTAATCCATCTTGCCCAATGGGAAAGTGTTGAGAATAGTTACGCCTCACAGGTATGTTATTTAAAACGTTTGATGTTGAGTAACCTAGTAATCAATCTTGCCCAATGGGAAAGTGTTGAGAATAGTTACGCCTCACAGGTATGTTATTTAAAACGTTTGAGGATAACCGTAGGGTGCGTTGGTTCATTGTGGTCTGTCCAATATTAGGCCTGCTT